CCATCCATCCATCCATCCATCCATCCATCCATCCATCCATCCATCCATCCATCCATCCATCATTCAGTAATGAAACCTTTGGGCTGCAGAAACGAATCAGTGGAAAAAATGTGAGAAAAGTAGAAGTTGAGGAAAAGGGAGGAGAGGAGGAGGCCTCCATGTGTCCAGCACCTGATAAGGCCTCCAATTGAGGACTATAAATTACACCAGAGACCCACAAACAGGGACCCCCCCCCCCAACACACACAGGTTATCTATCATCAGTTAATGAAGTTAGACTGACAGACAGCCCCATGTCTCTCACAGTGATCCTATTAAAACCTGCCTGACACAAAACAGACTCCTATTAATACAGTTAGCCATCAGAAGGCAAACAGCAAACAGCAACCCAGCTCCTAAAACGTTGGTTTATGTTGGAATCATAAAGACGAGGACATTTAAATGTTTTATGTTTATAAAATAAACATTAACTTATATGTAAAATATTTCCCTTCCCAGAAGTGATCATTTTTCCCTCACTTCAGGAGAATCTGATCTTAAACTCAGCAGTTGATTGGTCAGCCTGAGTCTATGGAGTTATTTTGGGATTTTTATTAAATAAAAAAATCGATCTGAAATGGGGAATAATTTTGAAATATATTGGAGAGAAGAAATGTTCACACTGATAACAAAAACCGATGTTATTTTAGACTGAGGAAAAATTTTTGAGTTTATCTTCAAGTGAAAAAAAATCAATTTTTTTGTTTTACTTTCAAATATAGTTTTATTTCAAATTAACTATCAGGATGATCCTCCTCCTCTTTGCTCAATTGTCTCCATGGAAACCAGTTCCTGTGTTCCTATTGGCCAGACATGTGGACGACCGCTTCCTGCTGTGGAGCTTCACCATCTTCTAACTCCGCCCATCAGCACCTTCCAGGTGAGGCTTTTATTATCCTGCTGCCTGCAGTTTGTAGCACAGACCTGAAAAACGCTAAAATATACTTCCAGCCGCCACCAACAGGAGGGGAAAACCCT